TTACAAATTATAGAAGTGCGGGTGTGTGTTGCTGTTACAAATGAATTACGCAGAAGTTGAATGACTTGCTACTTATTCCATATAGATAATACTGAAACACTTTAAGGGAATTCTTTCAGGAAATATAATAGGAAATCAGCTTAGGAGTTCGACCATGAACCATGAACTATTAGACATGAAGAGTAAAACTTTCAAATAATCTCTTGCTTAACATTATAAAAGTAAATACAAACCTGTTTAAATATTGTACATTGTAATATTGTATTATGCAACATACCTAAAGTGGTACCATAATGGTTTGTGGGGCATCTGTATAAGTATATCATTACTATCTACCCATCGCTTACATTTGTCACTTGAGTAATTATCATTATGTTATGATACACCACGTATTAGCAACAACAAATTGTTCCTTGCGTAGTCAAAGTTTTATTCTTCGCAATATGTCTAAACGAATCTTACCGAAAGTCCACATTGTTAACAAGTCAAGCTAATGTTGGTCAATTTACGATTAGAAAGTTTTACTAGTTAGTTTCACTAGTTAATTAAAAAGTTAAATTTAACCGATAGTTAACAACAACGGCAGAATAATATGAAGTGATTTTAAGCAGGACCCATAGTCTCCGATAATAAAGTATTTCCTTATAAAAACGCGATATTTTAATTCTTTCTAAAAGCGTAAAATGGAAGTGGATCAACTGTTTGATTTTTGGAACCTCTATAAGCAATCGGGATCAAAGTGAAACTCTGAAACTAATTAGGTAAATATCTTCGCATGCCCATCCGTCTGCTTGTATGGGAAATATTTACTTTCAACTTTCCAGTAAAACAAAACCAAAATTTGGATCATCTACACCTATTTTTGGATGCTGCCCTATGTAAGAATTAAACTTGTACTACATTATGTTGCGTTTTGGCCCCATTTCCGTATAGATACACACTTGAAGAATATGTCTTTACAAGAAACAAGATATAAATTTTTTGTTCTATAATAAAAGCAAGAATTATGTTAGACAATGTGGTGTAAGGTATTTATTGATCGGGTTTGACCGATTTTAATGTTCTTATTTATTTTATATTTATTACTATTATGATGTAATTTTTATCATGAAGCATTGAAAATTACACCTCTCTGTCGTATGAACTTAAGCTTTCGTTATATGGCAGGAGGTTCAAAAATTGCCCCAGCCGGTCCAAAGTTTTCATACCAATTTAAAATGCCAAAATACCGCCACTTTTGCTGAGATATTTTGAAAATTACAACTTTTTCCATATAACGTCTTTTCAGAATAGGGCGTTATGTGGGGAGTGATCGAAAAAGTGGACCGATCCGAACCATTTTCAATAATGTTTGTCCTAGAGTCAAAACGCGTCATTTTACCAATTTTTCATCAGAATACCTCAAAAATTGCAACCTGTAGCTCGAACACGAATTTAGATAGACCGAGGGACTATCATCGAACAGACTTAGATCTATTCAGATTATCATTCCGAATGGATTGGTATAATAAAAGATAGGTCTATCTCATGTCCTTCCGTATGTTACGGACGTCCGCACTAAATTAATATACCCTGTACCACAAGTGATGTAGGATAGCAGTATTTTCAATTACAGCTTTGAGCTCTCCACTGATTCAGAGATGAAAAAAAATTTTAAATAAACTACATATATGAATACATAAATTGGAATATATAATACATGCATACATATGTATATTAAATTTCCTGAATTTACTTTGCTTAACAGTAAAAAATTGATATATCTGAACTGAATATTCGGTTTCGTTCGTCAATTTCAACGTACATAGATAGAAGGATGCAAAGAAGAGAGAAAGAGAGTCATATGCAGATATAAATACCAAATAATGAAATGCTTCAACAGATAAATGGGAATATAGAGACAGTTTTGTGTTCATTCATCTCGGACATATTCATCAACGCATGTATTTGACAATGAGTTTAATTCAAGATTCGTCTAAAAACGAACACATTCAGATGTCTCAATTTAACCATTACATATAATTTAATTTTTGTATAAATGAAACGTATGGAACACATAAACATAAACTATTATAAATGATTGCAGGTTGCCTTATCTTGTAGAACTGCAATATCTGAAAATCGTGGATTATTATAATTTAGGCAAAAATCTTTGTACCTTAGTGTGTATAACAGATAACGTTAAACAAGAAAATGTCATAAATTATGCACTTGTTGAGGATAAAACTAAGTAACCAATCCATAACCGTCTTCATAATGTGTACACTTTCGATGAGAATACTCTTAAAAAGAGATCAACCGCTAAGATATGCTCGAAACTACCTTTAGTTCAACTAATATATTATTATAATTTTAGACTAATGAAATAAATTCTTAGACTAAAAAAAAAGGACATGTAGCACTAGCAACACAGGCTATCGGCTCTAATTTATAAAAGTACATTAGATATTGAGCCTAGTAGTTTTGATAAAATAATACATTGTATTGATATTCTGTTCTGTAGCTGATTGTAGAATGTCGATAGGGTTAATCGTTCCAAATGCAATACTTCTGGCCAAGGTAAAGTTAAGGCAGTCACAGAGAATTTACTTTACAGTGAGAATTTGTCCACAATTGCAGATTGGGGAGGAAGACTTCTTTTCAAGGCGAATTCTCAAAAGTGTTTGGATCTTGATTTTCTCAGCATTTGTTGGATATATAGATGGAGTTAATTGACTGTTAATAAAAGAGTAGTACTGACGATGGTATTGTAGATTTCCTTTTGTAATTTTCTCTTTAACTTTTCTTCCAATGTATCTTTGAGGGCCCAACTTTTCCATGACATCATTCATAATTAGAGGTGCAGAAGCAGCATACTTTGCCGCTCGATCAGCCTGCTCATTTCCCAATAAACCAATATGAGTGGGTACCCATAACATTTTAATTTTTTCGTCGGGTGTTGTAATGATATTCCTTAATTTGTTGATGGCGCTCCACCTCGAAGTCGAAGGATATAGCTTTTAACACAGACGAACTGTCAGTAACAGTGACGGCTTTGACTTTGTTTTTATGTGTAATATAATAACAATCGGGTGATTTCAAAAAAAAATGTATAAAAAACTATTTTCCGTTAAATAACTCTTATACATTGTTGATAATATGAGAAAGAAAAGCGCTTCACTCTCGTGACATTCGTTAAGCTGAACTCTGAAAATGGGCTTCGCAAACTAATGCAGAGCCCAATCAATCAGATTCTGCTTCAAGTTGAATGTACGTAGCCCGCGGAATTTGAGAATTTGTTTTGATCTTCGAACACACCATGTATATTAATATCTGTATCGTGTTCGCACTCTTAGCATACGTAGGAATTTGCTTTGTCAACTTCAAAATGATGACCTCAAACTAGAAAACGATCCTCACCTTTGACGAACCTTCCGCTGTGGATAATAATTTTATTAATAATTTCATTTCATTTATTATTTAAAAAGTAATAATACGCAGATTTTTCGCACAAGGCACTATTTTCAGCTCACCTGCGTTTCGTTATTTATATAAATTTAGCTACAGTCTAAACGTACGTACCCGATATTTTGGCAATTGAAAGGAGGCGAAAAAACTGAACCCTATCTAACCATTGATGTATTCTTCTCGTTTAGCAACAAAACGATTCAAGTCGTAGCTGAAGATGAAAAATAACTTTTGTATAACAATATTATAAGAAAAACAAGCCAGAAGTGATTAAATGAAAGAGGAGACAGAGAGTTTGACCCGGAAGCTAAAGCGAAATCAATGCAAGTTCTCGAGTAACATTTTTCACAAACCCTCTCCACATAATCAAAAAAACTTTCTCCAATTTATTTGCCAAAAATTCAAGCAGGATTAGTTAAGCGGAAAGACCACATTTTTTACCATGATAATGCTCGACTACATTTTATTCAGTAAACATTACAAAAGCTAAAAGGAAAAATCGTCCAGTAGACACTATTTTTCTCTGATTTTGCCCATCAGATTTTCATCTGCTTCCTTCCCATACTATAAGGTATGCCAATAATTAGGTCTTTAGAAGAGAAACAAGGTCTCTTTCTACAAAAGGAAGAATTCAGAAACTTGTAAAGGGTTACGAGCTAACAGAAATGTCCCTTTATAGATAGAACTTCTTACGAGAACGTGTTGCATTTAAGGTATTTTCAAATAGGGTCACATCGCCAATAGATATTTTGATCAACTAAACTTTTTACATGTGTACCGAAAAACAAAATTATAGTCTTATTATTAGCAGTGGGAACAGTAATAATAGTAGCCGAAGTAATAGCAGCAATAGTAGTCGAGGCAGTAGTGACAGTAGTAGTAACAGCTGCAGAAGAAGTAATAGTAGTGACAGTAGCGGCAGTAATAGTAATGACAGTAGAAGTAGCAATAGTAGAAAGAGCGATATTTTTTTAATACTAAATGACGTAATCTTCCATAACCTTCCAGGCAGTGCTGCAGAACAGAAATAACCTTTAAAAAAACGCTAACAGAAAAACCATTAAAATTAAAGATGCCTACGCTACCTAAGCGGAACACAACCAAGCGGTAACTGCTTTGCAATGTTTAATTTGAAACTCAGGTCAACATTACTAACGTGTTCTATAATCTTTTCTCATTTATTATCAACACAATATACATATAATATATATATATATATATATATGTATATATATATATATACTTTTTTTTCTATATAAAATAATGTTATTTAAAAAATCACTTAAAATTTAATTTATTAAAAAATAAATTATAAAATATCTTTTGGTTTATTTTAGAAAATTTAATAAATAAATTGTAATAAGTTTTACATTAATATTATAAAACAAGATAATGAAATATTCAACATTTGTACGTATATATAAAAACTTTTTTTTTTTTTTTTGTTTTTAATCATGTGTGCTGTGCAGTTATTTTTCATTTGTTCAAAAATATTCTTTTAATTTATCAAAGGAAAAATTTAATTAACTAAATAACATTAAGAAAGGAAAACTTTAAATTAAATTAATTAAGTAAATAATGGCAGACATCAATAAAGTGACAGCAATTGAAATAGGTTTGGCGCTTAAGGCACCAACACCTGGACAATAATATGAATCACAATCGGCATTGATTATATGCTCATAGCGTTGCACAACCTCAGACCAGTTGCATAGTCCTACATGACACCAATCCAAATCAACAGCGTTTTGATTCAGAAAAAATATGACCTTTTCTTTTTCCAAAGGCGCGTTATTACACTCATATTTGACGGCCACAAAATTGCCGGCAAATGGATCAATATTTGAAGTTTTCCATTTGCGTTCGGACATGCTCTGATAATTGTTGGCCGTTAAAGGTCGATCGTCTTTATTAATGCCGAGAGCAGACATCAAAGTTTGCAGACCGGCAGAATGAGCAAAAGAAACTTGAACGTTAGGCAGCGCATTGCTGCCTAAATGTTCGATCATATTTTGAACAATGCGACAATTCAGATGAGCATTGATGTCCGAACCATAACCAAATTTATAATAATATTTTAAATCTTCAGCGTATTCGAAGACCGTGACCTGCGGAGGAGTGAAGGCCTGCAAAATGCGGTAAGCAATTATTTAATAACTTCTCCAAACCCGTACTCGTACTTACCCCACACCATACACTCGTACGATCTACTTGCCAAGCTTGCTCATAGCGACATATGTCGTACATCAATTCTACATCTTTAGATTCCAAAGTGTATTGAAAGCTATATTAAAAAGTAGAAGCTAATAAGAAATATATTTTTGAAACATTTAATAATAATTTCTTACCCCAATCGTGTTGATATTTCCATCAAAGTATCATTCCAAAGAACTGAACGTTTATATTTATTGACTTCTGAATTCTCATCGTCATTATTGTTAGCAGCCCACGGTTCACAATAGTCGTAAGGCCGCAATAGCTTATCTTCCTCAGGTATTTTCTCAGCTACAGCATCATTATGCATGCCAAATAAACTGTCCGTGAAAGCTTTAAAGCTTTCGGTAGTGCGTTGAGAATCAGTGTGACGAAACTAAAAGAATCCACAATGCAAATTTAGAGGAATAATAGCCACCCACCACTAGACTGTAATCATTAATATGCTAAACTTGAATATACGTAAATCCTTATAGCAGATCAATCTGAGCGCGATTCATTTGCAAGCTAGTAATGTTGCTACGAAATTTAAAGCTCCTACATACAGTTTTATAAAAATGTGTAAGTGCTGGATTTTGCACTTTAAAGTTGTCCTTAGCTCATTAAAGGGATGTTTCAAATCAAAATCCTACTTAACCTAATTTAACTTAATCAAAAGACTTTATATCCATTGTAGGCAAAATCTTAAGTCATTAAGACTACACGTACGAGTACAAGTATCATTTATCTATCTATACATAATTTTACAATTCAAAAAAATAGCATAACATAGTAAATATAACGTGCAAGGGCAAAACATAACATATGTAAGGCTGCTCAAAATCGGTGCTTACCAAATAATAGGTGTTATTGTATTCCTTGATTAGAACATTTGGATACAATTTCTGATAATGTCTGGCAGTACCACGGAGATCCTCATAGCCCTAGGAAGAAGGAAAACTTTAAGAGTAACTTAAATGATCGGGAGAAAATGATAATGATGATGATTTTATTCCAAAAGTATAATGAAATCGCTTAAACTATTCACACCAAGCAAGAATGTATGTATAGCTATATATCGGATGTCTAAACTTGACTCCGCCATTCCGTAATTAGTACTGTAGAATGCTGAATAAGATTGTGAAGTTTCCATTTTAAACTACTGTCTTTAAGCTTTAAGCAACTGCATAAAATATCACACTGACGCGGACAGAACGTAGCTTCTTGAAACTTTGAATAGGTTTAGCTCTGCACTCAAAAATCTCAATTACGCTAAACTTTGCTTTTCCTGCATAATTCGAAGGACAGTGACTTGCAAATGATGAACAATGGACGCGTCACGATCTCCAAATGCCATATGACTATGATAGAGAGTAAGCGAACCGTTAAGATTGACGATAAAGCTGACGGTTCTATTTGTGGCGAATCGACCGGTTGTGGTATATTTATTTTATTTTTTTTTATTTAATACGACCAATCACTCAGCGGATGTCCCATATTCATGTAAAACGTCGACTGTCACAAAGAGGCATACAGGGAAGTGGTAGCAACGGGATATTGGTTGGCGAATTGGGCCCAATCGGCAAGTGTTATACCTTTCACGACTACGCACTCAATATATCTGTGACCAAAAAAACTCTCCCGCACTCTACCAGCAGCTACCAATAATAATTGATACAATTGGCATGATATGCCAAAATTCATGATATCGTGAGTTTTCAGTATGAAGAAATTCGACCCCGTATAGAGATACCGGCTAAGGAAATGTCTACAGTTCTAACCTGCAATATTCTACCCTCCATGCTGTCGTCAGCAGACTTTACTTACGACTAACACGGATTTCAATAGATAATTTAGATTGTTTGTTCGAGCGGTCCTTTCATTCTTCCAACCACACCCAAATATGGATTATTTTTAAAAGATCAATTGCTTTTAACGCATGAAATTCATAGTATTTTTTAAAGATAGCAACACGCAGTGTCCATTAATGGACAACATTTTGAATATTACAATAAAGCTTCGAATGTCACAAGAAAAAGAAAAGAACGACTTAAGCGAAGTTACACACCTAATAAGTTATGAGGTATTCGCGACTCAATCGGAGACTTTTAAAATCTTTGCTCAATGTACCTGACTGGTTAGATATTCTTCCATATCCGGGGTAATGCTGCTGTTCCATTTCCACATTTGCAACGCAATTAAATCTTCCTGGCATAAAGCATTCGTACTTGGGGCTGTTCTTAAGACGCGATAATTTTTAACAATCGCATCACGTAACTAAAAGAAAATATGGAACAGTTAAAAGAAAAGATTAACGATAGGTAATTAAAAACTTATTTACCTCTTCCAAACGTGACGCTTTCTCTATAATAGACCGTGACGGCAATCTAGTACCATGTCTGTGAAAAATCCATATTTTCTGAGGTAAACAATGCGGCACCAAATACTGTTTATCAATATTTGTGCCTTTAATGATTTGATATGCGGTCTTGGTAGTAAATTGACGTGTTTGTGAACGTTCGGTATCTTTGCCAAAACAATAGTCAAACTGCGCCAATGCATGACCGAATAGGGTAATAAAAAGAGCACTTACAACCATAAAGAATTTCATGACTGCAAAAAACAAAAAATAGAAAATAAAAGCTAAGGAAAAAAACCAATATTTTCGTTAAAATATTGGTGGCATAAAATATCCTACAATTTTATAAACCATATATTTTATAAAATCTTTAAATACTTGTGCAAAAAAAAATTTCAAATATTATAGTCGAGACATGCCGACCATTAGATAGTCTACACTACACTTATTTTCGTCATGAAATATCAAAAATTATAACTTTTTTCTTTGTTATATAATACAACAGAATTTATATAGAAGGGGGCTCAATGTATAATTGCATTTCATACCAGTTTTCCTCGTTCATTTAATATCGTAAATTAAAATACTATTTTCATCAATTTTTGTTGAGAAATATTAAAATTAAAAAGATTTCATTTATATAAGTTTAATCCAATGCATTTTGTATAGCTTTCAGCCTTGAAACATAACAAGACAATATATCGAGTTTCTCCAAAGAATACGAACTGTATGTTGAAAATAAATCTACACATCCCATATAAGAAAGAGAGAGAGAGAGAGAGAGAGAGTTATGCAAATTCTTCAACTGATTCTGAATCGATTGATATAATAGAAGTTGAGCCTATCACAGGCAGCTGCGTACATAACCTAAAAATTTATTGCATCCCTCTTCCAGGTATTACGAGTTATAATTGTATTCATCCAAAGTCTCTTCGCTTATAAACTCACCTTAAAGTATTACGAAATTTTAAAGACTTTTTTTCAAGGAGTTTTCCGTCCCACACATACCTTTAAGTAAATTATGACGACACACCTTTCACTTCCATCAACAAATCTTTAGCTTTGACTACCGTTTAAGACATTTGGTTTCAGTTTGCTTTTATAATAAAGAAGGAAAACAAAAAAAAGAAGAAAAGTACAGTTGCATGCATACTCGTGCCCATTTATTTCCTGCGGTGTTTTTGATTTGAGTTAGTTATGATTACATGTTAAGTCCCTTCAAGGTTATGTCTTAATATGCATATAAGATATGTATGTTAAAGAGCTTCATCCATATAAGCTCAAAGAGAAATTTATCAGAATATACGAATGCATTAGTTCTTTACATATAAGACATTAAATAGCGGGGGGAAAAGTGAGCGGTTCCAAGAGTTCAGCTCAAGGAACGTAATTATCTTATATATAATAGAGTATAAATTTGAAATCGGTCCTGATATATTAACATGTCCCTCCTTCCTCCCTCCCTTTCTTCTTTCTTGAGACAATCTCTTATCTTCATATGCTTGGAATGGAAATAATTATACAAATACCTCATATATGTATAAAATAGGTATATACATTAAAAATCTGAACTCGTGCAAACATCTCAACTGCATCCCTATTCTTTATAATTTTGTCCGGCATATCATCGACAATAAATAGCTGACAAAGTTGCCAAAGTGTTGGAAAAATGATCTAAACAGATACGCTTCCAGTGAATTTTATCGCTATAGTAAAATAATCCCTTTAACTGATTAATCGTACGCTCAAGATAGTACACAAAAGCAAACATGGCACAAACAGAATCGATTTAAGTGAAAAACAAGTAAGAAAATTATATTTGGTTGTGATCGAATTCTTTATACCCATCACTGTTATTCTATTTTTGTAGAATAATTTTGTAGAAATTTATATCAGGTCGTGATGAGTTTACGACCAACGAACAGATTATAATATTGAATGGGCGTGGTCAATTTTTACCATTTTATGCATCGCCCATAGAATGTATATTTAAATTTTTGTGGATTTATCGGTTGCAGTTTACGGGTAATAAGCAAAAAATCAATTTTCTATTGCTTCTTAATAAGAGAGGTTTTCTTAGCTTACGTGATACTGTAGACGTGTTCTTTGACCGACTGGATCTATTTTCAATACTAGCCTGCGCGCAAGAATTTGCAATGTTTCTGACAAATTCACAAGTCGATAGCCATATTTTTGCGACAAGGAGAATGTTTAAAACACACATTACACAAGACGGACAGATATATGTGCCTTGTGAGGTCTCTGAAGCCCTCCTCTAGGCTTCGCAAACGTTTTGACAAAATGTCATAAACCTCTTATCGCCTTAAATTAACAATCGTAATGACTAGTAAATAAAATAATTTCATTAGTTATAAAAATATATATTTTTTGTAAAAGTATAAAGCCAGTAATTAATTTATGTTTATATATATATATATATATATATATATATAAGAAATTTATTGTGCATGATAGTTTTAATAATGAATTCTTTGCATTTTTTATTTCATTTCTTTGAGATGGCAGGTATCCAAAATCGGCCTTAAAATGGATAAAAGTTGTTTTCCATATTCTTTTCATTTAATTAATTTACACAATTATAATCGTAAGTTTATCTATCTTAACTGTGCACATGTGTAGTTCATTAATTGCTTTGATCAAAAAAGATAGAGGAATATAACTAATAAAAAATAAATTGAAATGAAACTGTATGCAGCATTAGACGACTCGTAAAAGCCGTTCGTTCATTCACGCGCAACAACAAAATTACAATATCGTTATTGGGAGGTGCACTTTACCCAAGAACAACAGCGGTAATATAAATGCTTTACTATGAATAGAATTTTCGAGTAGTAGATTGTATATATGATTTTTACGAATCGTATGGAAATAGGTTGACTAACATGTATGGGGGATGGCTGAATGATGGGTGGTATTTCTTTACTCAAGCAATGTACATATATGACACGATCTGGTTATCGATTTCGAAAATATTTAAATTTGCGTGTCTTAGCAATTTGCAAGACGATTGGAAAATGCAATATAAGTGCGTTCGTCGATAGTGAGTGAATGAAATCAACAAAAATAGAAAAACAAACAATTTTCGATTTTATAAATGAAAAATTACATAAGCAGTAAATTATAAACAGAAATTTATGGGAATTTTAAATAAATAAACACATATATATATATATATATATATATATATACAGACACATGGACAGCCATATACAGATCAATAGCTGTAATGGACAGCACGAGCGTAAACAATAATTGAAAAATATGTAAAATTGACAAAAGAAGGAAAAATTACAAAAACAAAACTTTTCATTTAGGTTTAAAACGAATATATTAATATAACACTTGCCCTATTTTAATATAATTTCGTTGAGAATATTTTTTGAAATTTTTCTTTCAAATCTTACTTTTATATCGAATCAAATTCGTATTGACCTGAACTTGTATTATTATATAATCAAAATTTCTCGATTTTAATTTATGCTTTATAACGTCACGTATACTTATTGGTGGAATAGATGATGCAACCGAAAGCTTGGAATGAATAGATCTCACTGAAGCCTAGATCGATATAATATATTTAAATAATTCATAAATTCATAAGGTTTCGATGCTTTATTCACGTTTGTAGAAATTGCACCTTCATATCTCTTCTATCCATTTTGTGTGTAATACAATCTGCATGACATGACATACCTAATATGCCTATCGATAGTAGATGCGAAAAATAATTTATGAAAATCGTAAATGCTCTAGAAATTAAGATGAGCATCTAATTAAAGTCAACAATATTGATTGTTTGTTTATTAAGTAATGAAAAGGGGAAAAAGATGAAAATAAAAAACAAATCTTTAGATATATAAACTGATTATATACGAAAACTTTTACATATATATGTATATATATATATATTTTTTTTTTTTTTTCGGCGCATTGCTTATAAATAATTATTATCTCTTGGCGCTTATGTTGTTATGCCTACACAATGTACGCACAACGGATGCATAAATACGCTTGAGAAACAAATTTTTTTTCTTTTTTTTTGTTTGTAATTTCAATTTTTTGTTTAGAAATTTATTAGAAAAGAAGAAAAAAAAAATTCACGTTTGTTATAAATCACATTTTTCAATACCCTCCCCTTGCACTTTGGTGGCTCTTTCTCTCTGGCTCTGCAATGCAATGCTCATAAAAATCAATGCATACTCCTCTGTAGCATAATCCCGGACAAAACTACGTCGCCATAAATATCTTTGCTAGCTTTGCAGAAAAATCTATACGCGAAAGCATCTTACACCGAACATATATGGAAAAGAGAAGGCAATCAATGACCAATTTCAGATTGTCATCGATTATGGATCTTACTATTAATAAATTGAACTGGGTTCTCAAAATCACATCTAAAACTTCCGCCCCAAAAATAGTTTCATGATCTTAATTCTGATCTATTCAGTCAAATCAATTTTGCCATCCAAGCTGATCCCGAACCTCCTACATCTATTTCAGTCCACTTCAACCCTTGGTACAATTCAACGGCAGTGATCCAAAGATGGTAAAATCCTTTCATCTAACTCGGCCGGACTTTTTCATGTACCATGCCTGTCATTCGGGTTCATGTCTTCATTCTTGCGATACGCTTCTTTAAGTAGAGTCACGCGGAATTGAAGTAGACGAATATATGGATTAAATCGAAGCGATCAGATATGAATTCTAAAGAAAAAGTTGCCAAGAACGAGCATAATGTAAGAAAGTCGTAAAGGCAGAAGAATTGAAACAAAAAAAACTTTTTAATAATATAATAAATTTTTAATTACAATGTTAAAACAAATATAACAAACGAGAAAACTATGTACAGTTTGGGACGAATCTTAAATTTTTGCTATCAGTATTTATTCACTAAATTCAATTTATTGATCATTGTTTATTCTTATATCCGTCATCGAAAGGTTGAGCGGTACATTCATCTCAAAGACCTTCTTGGTCAGCATGAAATTCTGAATCGATTTAATCATTTCCGTCTGCCCGTCTGTGAAATGTCTCTTGTAAATATTCTCCTGGACCTATTGACTTCAAAATAGGCAAAAGCATTAGAAGATTTTGTGCTTAGGTTGGTATTAAAAATAGTCTAAGCCATCTACAGCCCCACGTAAACCAGGAACAACTGTGCGTTTCAAGAGGAATAAAATAATGGGTTTTTGCTCATACTATAAAAATTTAAACATATATGCTATGGTCGATG